TGGGGAACAGCTTCTCCCACCCCCTCCACCCAGGAGTATTTCCAAGCTCTTCTAGACTCCCTGGAATCCAGGCCCAAGAGCACGAGGTCGGGAGGGAAGAGACATCCTGTTTCACCTGTCTAGGGATGGCCTTCCTTGCCCTTCCTGGGATGGCTGGCAGTGGGAAGCTCCACTCTCCTGGGGCAAAGTGCCACCTCTGCCCACAAGGACGTGGTCTTGCCCTGATACCCTGATGCCATTTCTCTCAGAGGGCAAGGGTCTACGTGCATCAGAACCAAGTGGAACACATGTAAGTAATTAAGATTCCTGGGTCCCATCTCGGACTCATTAAATCAGAACATGGGAATGGGATCTAGAATCTGCTGGCAGAGACAGCAATGCCCGTGCATTCCTTGGAGTCCGAAGCTTTGGTCTTAAATATTACACACGGGCACATCAGGGGTACGGTCTGCACCGAGCTTTCCCTGACTTGTTAATCCCGTGTGAAGAGCGGGTGGGATTTACCAATCTCCTTCAGTCTGCAGGGTCTCAGCTCTTGAGCTCCTCCAAATAGCCACTCAAACAGGGACACACATGTTCACAAAGGTCCGTGCCCAAGCAGGCAAATGTTGTCTAACACCTCGCTCGGAGGCTTTTCCCATCAGGCAACGTGACCTGGGGGAGGCAGCTCTGCCTGCGTCTGGGGCCCCTTGTACCCGAGTCATGGGAACAATAAGGCTTTTTAAGGTCTTGGCTTCTCAAATGTCTGTTTCAGAGATCTGCAAACAGAGGCTTTGCTTTTTCATTTGCATAACCAAATGCTTGGGTCAAGTGGTTTCACTGGAACAAAGAGCAGTCTACACCCACCACTGCCGTGGGACAGGGGCCATGGGCCTCCCGGGAAGGGTGACAGTGGAACTTAAGGGGAAGTTTGCACCCAGACCAAGAGAGTGGTCCCAGGAAACAGGAGCAAGTGATCAGCACACTAATGGATCACAAATGCGGTTGTTTTGTTTTTTCGTTGACACTGTGGGTTTTTTTTTTTTTTAAACTGAGCCATCAAAATAAAGAGTTCAATTTTAAAAAAAGAGAAATGGTTAATCATGCCACTTTATTGGGCTGTTTTAAAAATATATTTCAATAAAGTTTTACTGCTGGCTAACAAACAAACAAAACTGAGCCAACATTTTCAAACCAAAAGCTTCAGGCCGGTGTGGTGCCTCACGCCCGTAATCCCAGCACTTTAGGAGGCCAAGACAGGGGGGTTGCTTGAGGCCAGGAGTTCAAGACCAGCCTGGAGACCACTCCACCCCCAGTCTCTAAAAATAAAAAATAAAAAAATTAGCCAGGCATGGTGGCATGTGTCTGTAGTTCCAGCTACTTGGAGGCTGAGGCAGGAGGATCCTTGAGCCAGGAACTTCAGGCTGCAGTGAGCTATGATCACACTACTACACTCTAGCCTGTGTGACAGATTGAGACCTGTCTCTGAAAACAAAAAAGTTTCAAATAAAAATCCAGATTTCCAGCTTTTCTGGAAAGATTCAGAAGAGTGATACCAGCAGACCTGCCTTCTGCACAGCAACAGTGTCACAGAGCTGCGTGACGGCCACCGCTGTAATCCTGGTGCCTGCTGCCCACGCTCCCCCACGAAGCAGCACCCCAGCACTCGTGAAGCTGCCTGCCCCGCTGTCTTCTCACACCAGCCTGCCGCCCCTCGGCCTGCTGGCCCCGGATGCTGTGCGCATGCTCTGGTCTGCACGGGGCAAACTCCAGTCTCCCCTAAACACCCGATCACACCACTGTCTAATAAGCTCTTTTCCACCAGCCTTTCCAACGTTCGAGCAATTTGGAAAGAATATTTTTCCATGCCTCATGCCAGAGACCTGGGCTGGCATTTTCTTGTCTTTTACGTGGATTTGGCCAAGTGGCGTGTTTCTCCTGGAAACTTGGCACCATCAGGGCGCCCATTGTCACCTGAGGTATTCTCCCCCGTAGCACTTTAATGCCCACAGAGCCTACGAGCTGGAGGTGCACGTCTGAAGCAGGGGGAATTGAGTATCGAATCCCAGCATTTGTCCGGGACGTGTGTCCAGGGGAGTAGCCTTTGCTACTGAGGGTATGAGGGTCCCTTTAGGGTCCTCCCTCTGTCCCCTCACTGCTGAAACGTTTCTGCAACTTCCCTTGGGAACTGATTTTTAACACAGTTCTATCGTATATGGATGGCCCTTTGCGAAAAGATTGTCAAGGTTTTTAAGGGTAAATCCACCAAAGGAGTATGGTCCCAGGCAGGAGCCCAGAAAGGTTCCCTGAAAATCTATTCTTTTTAAATTTTAAAAACTAGACAGAAAAAGCCTGAGATTCCACATTTTGTTTAAAAACTATTAAGACAGGGCTATGCTACTAATTTTATTCTAAAAAAGATACCTTCTATACATGTTCCAACAGCAAGCAATGACATTGATCTGGCATCTTAATAAAACTTAAAATGTGATTTAATTAAGTGGTGTTTTAAAAGCACTAAAAGGCGCCTGAATGTCCAGCCTGTTGAAGCACACAGCACTTCTGCCTTTGGTCGGGAGCAAGCCGTGTTTCCCGGTTCTCTGAAGGGAGGAATTTGTTCAAGAAGGCAGAAGACGAGGGAGCTGACGGAGGCTGACGGCACATTTCTTCAGACATTTCCAGCGAGAGAGTTCTTCCTAATCAGTGACAGAGGAGGGTTGGGCCCCATAGACAGGTGGCCTTATGTCAAAGTCTTGATTTTATTTTAAGTGTTTATTTGAAAAATGCTCCTTGCACACACTCAGGAAGCAAAAATCAACCCAACACAGGAAACATTTACCATGTGGAAGGCAGGATAGCCCATGGGCCTCTTCCGGGGCCCCACCCCACTCTCCTCTCCAATCACACGGCCCAGAGGCAACCCCAGTGACTTTTCCCACGAATGCCGATTCAGACATCATTTGCCTCTGATCTAAACTGGGACACAGAGCTCCGGGCACAGGCATCTCAGGTTTTTCTTAGGATCTGTGTGCAATCTCGCTTTACCTGCCTTCCAGCTCTGGCCCTGCGGAGGGAAGGAGGGCAGGTGCTGGTGTCCACTGCTGCTCTGAAGGCACCGTCACAGCCTAGGGCTGGGGGAGGATGCGGTGAAGGGCAAGGGGGCTGCCAGGGGGAGCACTTGCTATCAGGACAGTGTCAGGTTTGCAGAGCCTGAGGAGCTGAGGCGTCCACACTGACTGCAGACTGGGAAAGCCAGCGGTTTCAGTTCTCAGCCGAAAAGTTTGGGCAGCGAAAGTAGGAATCACTGCTCAAGGAGGGGGAAATTTCCTGATTCGAGACAGAAACCTCAGATAGTCAACCAATGCTTTAGTCACGTGGGAAAAGGCTCAACATAAAATGTTAAGTTAAAAAAAGGGAGAAAGTTGTGTACAGGTAACGTGACCCCAAATGGGTGAAGTCGGTTTCTGTATATGTCTCTCTCTTTACGAATATTCAGACAGAAATAGAAGAAACTCAAATTGAAATATATCAAAATGTAATTAAATTTGTTCTTTATCATTACTTTATTATTTCATTTTTCTTTAATGAACATTGATTTCTCTTGCAATAAATGTTTATATTGAAACAAAGAACGCCACATCTGCAGTGACTTAAGCTGGTTGGTCTTTGACAGAAACAGATTAAATCTAGGGTGACTAAAGACATGTGAAAACCAGCACCGGACACTGGGAGGAAGGACTTTCTTGAGCCTCAGTTTCTCAGTAAGGAGATGATTAAATATTTCCAAAGAGTTCTACGTGATCCAAACTCTCCAAATCAACTCTGGCAAGTGAAGCTTGGGCCGGGGTTTTAAAATTATATCCACTATTTCATCACGTGCAAGAGAGAACTTGTGCAAGTGCTTTCATCTTGCCGGGGTCAGCCTTTGAGGTTCTGGGGCAGGCGGGTTTGAGGCTGCCTGGGGCGGCGGTCAGGACTGTGCTGGGCGAGGCTGCAGGGGTGCGCTCGGAGCCAGCCCTCGGCTCTCGGCTCTCGGCTCTCGGCAGGCTCTGAAAGCCCTGCCTGTGCACCACACGTTCCCAGGGCCCCAGAGGCTTCTGCTAGGGTATCCGGCTTTCTTCCGAAAGGCACACGGCCTTCTTACCACGACCTCACATTTAGCATCGTTAGGTAAGTATCTGCATGTCTCCCTCCCCTTTACTCTACGGTTGAGAACATGTACTGCAGTTCGGTGCATAGGACCTGAAGGACGAAGAACACTGTTTTGACATGACTGATTTTTCCGCTGACTGTAGCTAAAGTCCTCTTTAACTCTACCGGACTCTGTTCTCCTCCAAAGGGACGGCGGAGCCGTTTCATGTTCTGCCCAGGACTCCTTCGCGTCCCCCTTAGAACATCCTGTCGACAGGCTAATGCAAGAGAAGGCAGGTCATTTTCTTGTTTTAAGTGAGAATAACCAAAGATTTTATTTCAGCTAATTTTATATTAGCAATTTTAAATTTATTCCATCAGGAGCCAGAAATAAATTCGTAGGAATAGCCAGGTTTCCAAATATTGACATTAACTTTGGGTTTGCACGTTGAAAGGCCTCTAGTCCACACCCCAAGCCTCTCCCACCATCCCCTCTCTAATCTTCCCTAGCTCTTCACTTACTGTTGAATGGCTTCTCAAATGCTTCTGGCAACTATGTGTTATTAGTAAGGGATGGCACCTTGTTATTAGATTGCATTTTATTATTTCCTTCAGCTCAGTGCGTACCTAATATTGGAGGGCTCTCCCTATGGGTTGAGATTGAGAGATGCTGCAAATGATGTGGTTTTATTATTTCTGGGCCCCTACGCAGCCAGGTGAGAAACCTGATGCTGTGGAAGCTGAGGGACAGGAGGGCACCGCCCTGTTCTGACTTTCTGACTGGTAGAGCCCAGCGTCCGTGTCCCAGTGGGGCCACTCCTGTCTGCATCACAGAACGGTTGGGGGCAGCTGCCCTTCTGCCCACTTGAGACGCCTGTCGCGCGAGGAGATCAGCAGGCATTCAGCACGGCTATCCTGGCCTTTTCACACAGTGGGTCTAATTTTCCATCACCTCCTAGGGAAATAGATAGAATTTTCTTTTAGCCAGCTTCATATACAATGTAATGTCCTATTAGATATATACACTGCTTCCACCCACAGTGCATTTTCAAAGGCCACAGGCATGCAAAATGTTAACTAGCCACTGATAAAAGAGTATTAGTGGATTGCAAAAGCTTTTACTTCTGAGCACAGGGAGGCACGCACGGTGCCAGACTGCCAGGCCAGAAAGTCTCCAGGGCAAAGAAATCCCCTGGAACATTGTTGATAACGCCATGCCCTGCTGGCATATGGGCTCTAATGGTCTTAGTAAGTCTAGATAGAATAAACAAATGGAACAAAAATAGCTTTGAAAAAAAAATACAACTCATTATTAAAGTGCAAAAATCTATTATCCTTAAATTCCATCAGATCACTCCAAGGGCTTAACTTCATTTTCTTTCCTCTTCTGTTCCCAGAGCATCCAGCGCTTCCCTTTGTGTGGTTTGGGACACTCCCGTCTGTGCCATAGGGCATAGGGCTTGCAGTCTGAATTTAAAACTCAGAAAGAAGCCCAATTTGAATCCAGACACAACGCACTGACCATTTCAACTAGAAATTGAGGGACTCTTCAGAGGAGGCGGAATGCTGGCTGGAAACCTTGCTCAAGGGCTTACCAAACTCCAAGTCCTTGATGTGGCAGCGGAAGACCACCTCTTCATTCACCATGAGTTCTACCACGTTCCAGTCTTCTGTCTTCGCTAGGATGACCTCGTGCCCATCGCTGGCCAGCACAGCTGCAGAAGACAGAGAAGGAGGTGGGTGACGGGGTCAGGCTTCAGATTACAGGTAGCTGTCATCATGGATGACAGTGGTGTGTCTGCCCCCGGTTGCTCATGGGTATAACTAACGGCCTTGGCAGGCCCTTGGTGCTGGCCCTGTGCCCTCCCCTTTGATGGGAACCACACAGCCGAGGCCTGACGATTCAGCTTTCCGTTGCGATTTCCCCAGACCCACGTGATCTGTTAAACAATGAGCTTTCTCTGGGAAAGGCGACTGGGCTTTCCAGAGGTTGCCTTGGAAGGACTCAGGTGATTAGGCAACTTCTCACCCTGCTGATGGAGATGCAGACTGGTCACCTCTCCAGAGGGCAGTTTGACGGTACATACCACAAGCCTCAAAAACCATTCTGATCTTTGGCCCAGGAAATTGCACTTAAAAGAAACCCTCCTAAGGAAAAAAACTAGAAATACAGGCAGGTTTTTGCAATAAGATATCCTTTCTATATTATTATCAAAGCAAAATACTGGGAACGACTTACATGTCCAATAATAAGAAAATGGTATGTCCATATAATGAGATTTTATTTGGACATTTAAAAAATGTTTAGGTTTTTTTATATTTCAAGTTTTTAATACTTTAAGCAAAAATACAAGATATGAATATGTATAACATATATTAAAATATATATTCAATATTAATTAAAATATGTATGTAAGGAGGAAGAAAATATCACCACAATGATTATCTCTCTGTAGTAAGATTATATGAAACTTTCCCCTTTTTATTCTTTCAACATTTTCCAGATTGTTTATAATAATCAGAAAAAAGTTTCTTTAAAAAAATCTAATGAACTAACCTTTTATATCTGCATTTTGGTTATCACTAATATTCAGCGGCTCCTTCCCTAGAGATCAGCCGTGGAAAGACAATTAGGTTTAATCTCTGTGGGGAAGCGCAAGGCTATGTGGGTCAGAAGAAGTGGCGAGCACGGGACAGACCAGAGCTCTATTCTCGCCAACCAGTTTCTCCTGGTCGCCTTGGTGCATTCGCCCTGTAACGCTGACATTGGCGTGGGCGTGCCCTCCTCCCAGTTTCTGGTAGAAAGTCCCACTCACCCCGAGACATAGGCACTAGAGTGGGTGGCTCGTAGCCTCCTTTGGCAGTCTTCACAGCTGGTGAGAATTTTGGTTAGGATGGAACGAGAAATCAGGTGGGTGGCATGTTTTTTAAAAAGTTTTAGCATTTCAATCAGTCTTACTAATTGGACTGGTGAAAAGCAGACCGTTATGTCAGTTAATTGCGTTTAATGACAGAGACAATTGCTGTTTCAGAATGTGTCCACTTCATCTTTCAATCAGTTCAAGAACATCCAGCCCCAGCTGTGAACATTTTAATTGCGTGATTTTAATTTCACTTCTGGAAAGGAACTTCAGAAAGAGACTCAGCGAGGATCTCCATTAACAAGATAATGCTCTTTGGGCACCTGGTGGTGGCCCTAATCGACCCGCATCACCTAATGCCTCTCTGAAGGACACCCGCATCTTTTTTGCTGGCGTATTTATGATACTGTATCCTGTTTAAGTGTCTAGTATTAAACGTCTTTGAAGAAGGCACACAGCTTGGGCCGTGACTTGCTTAAATGAAGCAGTCCCCTGGTCTGGAAGGGCGTTCATCTAGCGGGACATAAAGGCAGTCTGCCGGCAGAGATTTCTGGGACCCCACGCCCCCCAGCTGCGCCCCCTCGGGAGGGGAAGCCGTGTCTGTCTGAAGACACTCCAGGAACTCAGCTTGACAGGAAGGAAGTAGGAGCAAAACAGCTTCTCCATTCCCACCTTCCGCCCCTGCCTCCGGGGGCGAGGTGCTGGCACTCTCCTGTTAACACGCAAGGCCAGCGCTCAGGCTCAGGGCTGTGGAGAGAGGGAGGGCTGGGGCACTGCTCTGGTAGGCGAGGAGCAGCCCTGCAGGAGGAGACCCAAGGCGAGCACGGGCAGCCCGCCAAGGCCCTGCCCCGGGCCCTTCTCACGGAGCCTCACGGGCGCCTGGGTTTGGAGTTTGTTTCATGAGGACAGTGTCACTCTTACATGGTATCGTGTAGCTCAGAACCAGGATTTGATCCACTGAATGACCCACTCTGTGGAGTTGGGGGTGCCGGATAATGAGGGCCCACCTCATCTGTGAGCGGATGAAGGCAACAGGAAGACATCCTCTTACGAGGCCACAGCGCTCCTTGCTCTGCCTTCACGGCTCTCGGCGTCCCTAAGGATGTGCGTCTTCCTTGCTGCCCGCGACGCCCAGCCCGGCGCTCCTGCAGCCGCCAGACAGTAACGCAGGCCCGCTGAATTAACACACTCGGAGTGGTGCTGGCACTGCCTACGACCCCTGTGGACCCCGAGTGACCTGAGTCTGATTCTTATTAAAGCCATAAGCTGCCTCGGAGTCCACGTCATCTCTGCAGCCTCAGCTCCTTCCATCTGCCTGGGATGTGCTGAGCCCAGCTGCGGGGTGGCCAGCGCAGGCTTAAGGGATCAAACGCAGAGAAGCCCCAGAATTCCTGCGGCTCAACCAAATGCCACCTCTCTACATGGAGGACCCATTTTTTTCCTACGAGCTGCTGTGGGGTTGTCTATTCAAAGAAAGGTCAGATAAATGCACTCCCTGAAACAAAGTCTCTGCAAAGGCAGTGGCTAAACTCCAGCATCAATCAACCAGAAGCTGTAAGGCCACCTGCAGAACACCCACCTCTTTGAAGTGGCACCTCATTCTTCAAGGGGGATCTAGATAAACTGAAGGGATGCAGATAAGCCTCCCTCCGCTCAGTGCAGGCGGAATCGTGCCCCATCTGCCAGTGATTTAAACGCTGCTGGTCAGGAAGTCAAGGTATATAGACGGACCTGTCTCCCTCCTCTACGCAGCATGGAAGCCGAGCCAACCACCATTAATGAAGGCAGCTAATGCCTAGCCAGGGACAGGAAAAGGGCACACGGGGTGTCTCAGCTAAATAAGAGTGGATTCAATTTTTAAGGCTCGATTTCAATTCCTTCCAATTCCTTTGAGTGGGTCATTTGGCAGGCTTACGTGCAGCAGGCCAGGAGCGACCACGGCCAGAGAAATTACTTACAACTCTGTGTTAAGCTTCAGTTTAGCTTCATCAGTACTGAGACGATAGTGGAGACATATTTGCTGAGCTACTATAATTCATGGATCATAAAGAAAGAACAAAAATTTTCAGTGTGCTTAAGTTCAGAAAAGATCAGGCATATTTCCAAAGCCAGCAGGGCTTCGGGAAATGATAAAGGGATACGATTTTTAAAGAAATACACAGAATTCAGATGGAGATTTTTGCAGAGGAGGCCTGCAATCGCACCCCGCTGCTGCGGTGGAGTCAGTGTTGGGTCTGAGGTGTGTGTGGGGGTGACGGACAGACCCCCCCCTGCCTGGCTGCTAGCACCCTGGTCTTGGTAAATGTGAGTTATCATTCATGGACACACAGAGCTTATTTTACAAATCAACCACCTGCTGACACCTTGCAATCCTCAAGTCTCCTTCAATCATAAAAATGCTGCCCTTGATCTTCTCAAAATACTCCTTCCCTCCCCTGCTGGGGGAAGAGCCTGCACCGGCTGCCTGTGCTCTTTGCTACTTCGTGTCCACCCACTCCCTTACCCTGGGGGGAGCCTGCAGCCTGCCCTCCGGAGCTGCCCTTCCAGAGGTCAAGAAGCATCCACACATTCGATGCGGCCCCCAGACACCCCCTCGGCCCATCTCCTGTCTTGCTTCTTTAACATACTTTTGCTGGTAAGAAAAAACATGTATATGTTAAACTCTAACACTTTATCAGATTGTAAATGTAATATAGACTCACGACTTTTCAAAAACCTTAAAAATTTTAGAAAGGGGCAAAATTTTAGAAGTCACCCTAGGCCGGCGCGGTGGCTGACGCCTGTAATCCTAGCACTCTGGGAGGCCGAGGCGGGAGGATTGTTTGAGCTCAGGAGTTCGAGACCAGCTTGAGCAAGAGCAAGACCCCGTCTCTACTAAAAATAGAAAGAAATTGGCTGGACAACTAAAAATATATAGTAAAAATTAGCCGGGCATGGTGGCGCATGCCTGTAGTTCCAGCTACTCGGGAGGCTGAGGCAGGAGGATCGCTTGAGCCCAGGAGTTGAGGTTGCTGTGAGCTAGGCTGATGCCACGGCATTCTAGCCCAGGCAAGAGAGCGAGACTCTGTCTCGAAAAAAAAAAAAAAGTCACCCCTAAGTCTTCCCCACCGCTCCGTCTTTCCCAATGGCACCAGGACGGTGGCGTGGCGTTCCTGGCATTCAGGAAGAGGCGGGAGCTGCTCCTTCCTTTGCGGAGCTGTGCGGCACCTCCTCACTTGGTGCGTGAGCTGCGATTTAGTTTGCCGTTCCTTTTTCTGGTTGTTTCCAATTTTTCACTATCACCAAAATGTTGCAACATACCTCCCTGTGCCTGTGTGAGGTGTTTTTTTTTTCTTTCATACGGAAAATACCGAGAAACAGAAAGCTGGATTCTACAGTCTACGGTTACATTTTAATAGACACTGCCATGCTGCCCTCCAAGGTGGCTGCCCAATCTACCCTCCTGCAGAGAGGGCATAGAATAGTCTTTCTCTAAGCCCTTTGCCAGCACGAATTCATCTGTCTCTGGAGATGACTCCTACTCAGCTGTTTGGGGCCCACGGCCCTTTCCTCTGGAAATCCCACCGCACCTGCCTCCTGGGCCTCCGGGCTCTCTGCTACCTCCGCGCCTCTCCCCCTCTGGCCGCTCCTCCCTCTGAGCACCCTCTGCCCCTCGGAGGGGCCCCGCCAGCGTCCTGCCTGCCCTGGCTTCCTCCAGAGTCCCACCTCCTGTGGCTCCAACCTTCGGCTTTAGGCAGGTTGATTTCCTTAACTACTATTTATTGGTGTTTACAACAAGCCAGGCACGGTTCTAGGCACTGGGACCCCGCAGAGAACAGAACAGACCAGGTGAGAATCCCTGCCCCGAGGAAGAT